CAGAAGTGAGAAGATTGTTTCCCCTACACCACATGAGCCTCTTACACTTCCAATCACAAAAGAGACAACAAGTACTAATATAGCCCCCTTGGAGTCATCCTTTACAGACCTTGATATCCCTATTGCTATTAGGAAAGAAAAAAGGAAGTGTACTACACATTGCAGTTCCAAACACCTTTCTTATAGTTTGCTCTCTCCTTCATATTTTGGCTACCTTTCTTCTATTGCTTCTAACCCAATTCCTAGGTTTGTGTCAGAAGCTCTTACTATTCCAGAATGGAGGGATGCTATGAGAACATAAGTTGATGCCTTGCACAAGAATGACACTTGGGAAGTGGTTGATTTGCTTGAAGGGAAGGATCCAGTAGGCTGTAAGTGGGTTTTTACCATCAAATATCATGCTGATGGCACCATTGAAAGGTACAAGGCTAGGCTGGTTGCAAAATCTTATACACAAACATATGGGATTGATTATCTGGGGACCTTTGCTCCTGTTGCCAAGATGACTTCTATGAGAGGTCTGCTATCTCTAGCTGCACACTCAAACTGGCCACTTTATCAGCTGGATGTGAAGAATGCATTTCTGAATGGAGAGTTACATGAGGTCTATATGTCTCTTCCTCTAGGGGTGTATGAAACAGATATGAAAGGGAAGGTTTGTAGGCTGAAGAAATCTCTTTATGGACTTAAATAGTCCCCTAGGGCATGGTTTGAAAGGTTTAGGGCCGCCCTTGTTAGTTTTGGCTATGTACAGACATAGTCTGATCATACCCCCTTTGTGAAGAGGAGAGGATCCTTGGCCGTTTACCTGATTGTGTATGTTGATGATATTGTCGTGACTGGTAATGATGTATCAGGAATTAATGATCTCAAATCTTTCCTTCATACAGAGTTTGAGATCAAAGATCTGGGGGAATTGAGATACTTTCTTGGCATAAAGGTTGTTAGATCCAAAGATGGGATCTCAGAGAAAGTATGTACTTGATTTGCTCTCTGAAACAAGGAAGATGGGTGCTAAACCAGTTGCTACTCCTATTGATATGAGTCATAAACTCTCTGATTCAGATGGAATATTGTTGAAAGATAAGGGAGTCTTCCAGAGGCTACTTGGAAAACTTCTCTATCTATGCATGATTCGACCAGACATTGTATATGTTGTCAGTTGCATTAGTCAGTTCATGCATGCTCCCAGGGATACTCACATGGCAGCAGCAGAGCAGATTCTATGTTATTTGAAGGGTTCCCCTGGAAATTGAGATACTTTCTTGGCATAGAAGTTGCTAGATCCAAAGATGGGATCTCAGAGAAAGTATGTACTTGATT